TAAACAGGCTATTGTATTGTATCCATGCTGGCTATTGTATTCAGACAGCTACACCACCTGTGACAGTCTGAATACCCGAACAGTGACTGCTACTGATAAAATTCAGAGCTATGTTGTCAAAGAGGAGGAAGCTGGGAGCATACTATGAGGGTGATTTATCAAAAGTGGAGCAGACGTCCATAGCAATCAATCAGCCATTTTCAAATCTTAACTCAGCAAACTGAAGAGAGGCGCGGATTGGTTGCCATGGCCAACTGCTCCAATTTCGATAAATTCCCCCCATGTTTCTGGCACATCAAGAGGTATTTTTCTGTATTGGCAGCGTGTTTAAAGGGATAAAACATGGGGAAATATGCAAGTATTCCAGAGATGCACTAAATATTGGTTTTGTGTGATATTAAAGTGTATCTGTAGGGAAAACCTTTTTTAGTTTTGGATTGGAGGGGGGGGTGACCATTAAAACCTGACAGAGTTTGTAACCCTCCACTACTCTGTCCAAACCAAAGAAGAAAAAAAAGGGTTTTGCTATACATACACTTTAACATTGGTTATTCATAAGGCTCGCACGGGGCAAAGCATCTTTGTAGCCAAAAATAAAACTCACATTTCAGTTATGAGATCCCTCTTTTGTAGGTCATGGTTATGTTTGAAGGGAGTTTAGGGTGATTCTGTTGCATTCTCCTCCATAATAGTAGAACATCTTTGCAACAAAGTGTGCAGTGAGTCCTCAAAAGATATATGAAACCTTCAAAGCTTTGCCACCCCAGCATCTACCACACCAAATTAGCAGTTGTGGGGGTGGACTGGCTCTTTAACTCAGTAGCATACAGTATATGGAGGGAATAATTACCTGGCTGTTTGTACTTCTTGAATGTGTCATTTACTAATGGAAAGTGCATGATGACGGGAAAGTCTGGGTAGTCGCAGTCTGCGAAAACGTAGCATTCCTTGGGGTTCTGCTTGTCTTCTTCACTTATTTCAATTTTGGGGAAAAAGAGCTTGTGAACAGAACAGTATTTTTCAGTTTGCTCCACTGTCTGGAATGACAGAAATTCAGATACAATTATCAAAATGCATTCAAGTCATTAAACTCTCAAACTTTTTTTTTCAATAATGAATCCAGATCAAACAAATATATAGAGTACATTGCCCAGCAAAGTATTTCTTTAAGTGTTTAGGCAACAATTTACAGTCATCAGGCTTCTGAACAGCTCCAACTCTCTCAGTTCACCTTCCCTAAACATCCTGTCCAGTACAAGATCACAAGGGACAAAGCAGCATTCAGCACATATCCATCTACTAGCTTTGAGAAGGGAAGCGCAGGGATTAAGGGCATGGATTGCATGTTTGGGCATGTTTGTGAAGACACACACAGCTTAGTAGCACACACACAAGGACGGCTCCATAGAACCCTGCAAGGGAATCAATGTCAGTGCTCAGGGTACCAGCTGGTTCTGCAGGAAACTAAAACTTTTAAACATCAAGGAGCATCATCCATTGTAAATTATTTAATCAGCATTTGAAATAACTTAAAAACCTTTTGACTTTAATATCACTTTAAGGATTTATCCCATAGGTTTAGATATGCTTTAATTACAGACAGAGTCAGAAACAGCCATGGCAGCAAAGTTGGGCTACTTACTTTGAACTTATCTACGAGTCCATAGTCAAATGACATGATCATGTCCACACTGCGCTCTTCTCGTAATAGCGGAGGGAAGCTTGCATTGATGTAATATGCGCAGTCCACCAGACAGAGATCTTCTGCACAAGGGGTCAGGTGGTTTGGGGAAGTATCCAATTCTGTGCCTAGAACAAAGAAATCTCTATTACAAAAGAGCAACAGATAAGCTTATCCTGAAATATTTTCCATATATAAACTGTAGGGCCCATGTGACAGAAACGTTCCTGGCACATGATCAACAACAGCTGGTTGACATAGACCGTGTATAGTGTCTACCAGCCGCAGTTCAAGGTGTCTTTGGAAGCCCTTTGGTGTGCAGAAGGTGCTAGCCAAGTGTCCAGTCATGACACATTCACATTGCCCCCAGCAGCAGTAAGTGGAAATGAAAACATTTCAGGGTTCCAGCGCCATCTATCCACTTCCTTAGACTGGCAACAACCCATCAGCAACACTAACATAACCACTTACCTTTTGCTATGCAGTTTATCCCTTGCTAGCCGGACCAGCAAGAAGTCAATTTGGCAGAGTTTTAGGCCAGCAAGGGTGTAACCCCATTAAGATAGGTGAAAGCCTCTCCTTGGCGATTATGCTGCTGGTGATGTGTCCCAAACAGCATAATGCAGTCTGCCCCCATCTTAGTGTGCACTGTAGTGTGTTTTAGTCCGTTCATTTTGAATGGGCTGTTTAACACACCACAGCACACGTCAACACATGACCACGTGTGTGTTGCAGAGCACAGAATTGTGGTATGAATGGGCTGCCCATAGCCCTGAAGATCAGGATACCTGAAATGTATCCTTCTCAGCAGTGGATGGCCCAAACTGACATGCTTTTCTACTGTGGCTAGATTAAACAACAAAACAATGTTTGGAATGTATGTAGCCAAGTACAGCCTGGATTTGGCTTTAACTTCTGGTCCAAAGAAACATAAATGTAACAAAATCTAGACAAAAAAAAAACTGTTCTGTTCAGTTTCATTCTTCTACAGTCTGATATCCTTCTGGACATAATATGGAGGAATTCTAATTAGAAGGCCAGCCCACTGATGAGTTTATAAATACATTCAGGTCTGTTAAACATAAAAGTGTGCTAAAAATACATGAAATGGACAAACTGCAGCAAGGCATATTACAGACCACAAGGGGCTGCAGATAGAAGACTAACTGCTTTACAGCCAATGATCCATAATTGCAAAAGCTTTGTACATTACAACTGGACTTACAATCAAATGCACAGAAGCCGTTCTCTGTGACATATTTGGAATGCATCTGTAATCCTCGTAGAAAATTATGATGCTCTCCATCAAGGGGGCGGTTAGTAAGAACACTTCGCACTGTGTTGCTGAACTCCCCAGCTGGTTGTAGAAGACGGGTGTCCAGGCACGCTGTGAGTTTTCTCCTCTGTATGGCTTCTTCATCATCTGTACAACACATAATGTGAATAGCATACTCTCTCTTGTGTCGTCAAAACATTTTTGCCAATATTTTTATAGTAGCCAACTTACAGCAGAATGAAAGAGAAAACATGTAGGGAGCATAAACTGCAGCAATGGCCATATGAAATACTTGCAGTACAGTATATGCTGGCCTAGATAAGAGGCTTCTTTGTAGACTTTGTCAATAACTAGCAATATGGTTGTATAAGTTACAGATGTTGCTCCCCTGGGCTTAAAGCTCAGGACAACCTGGTATAAAAAGGAACAAGGTCAGTCTTTTATGGTCTTTCAAGGTGCCCAAACACTGTCCGAATTTCGGACGGTTTTTAATGTACTGGCCGAAATTTGCACAGTGTGTGGGGGGGGGCTGTCGGCTCCCTTTCAGCTGGCATTGAAGGAGACTGCTGAGAAATCTCTGTGCAATCTGATCCGGTAGCCAATGAGCTGCCCACTCTGATCAGGTATTCTGATGGGGGCCCGTCAGGATACAATGCAAACAGCGACGATTCCTCGATCGGCACGCTGTTTGTGTTGATGAAGGAATTGCGTCAATTTCTTTTGTTCAGCTTGCAGGTTAAATTGTCAGGTGTATGGCCAGCTTAAGTGTTTCATGGCAGCCTGGCCCTTCCATTATAAAGATGGGACCTAGCTGCCCTGAAATGCATGGGGACACTGAAAGAGTTCCTTTGTTTCTTTGCACTGCCGCCATACCTGCTTTTCCCTGGTTCAAAGCGATATTCAATCAATATGTGGAACTGAAGACACAAGCCCTTTTTTCGTTTGTTAACATAAAGAATACAAGGTGTCACTTATGTCCCTAAACGGAGACATAAAGAGCACAGGTGTATAATGTGTGCCCAAGTGTGAAAATGTAATGTGAAAAAAGAGAAGACATACCCACGTCAAGCACATTGTCCCTGGTGAATCTGTGCCAAAAGCTTTCAGAGCTTATAGCCGCATACCAGGCGTCCAGCAGATTAATTGAAAAGACATTGCTCCACAACCCTGGCAAAATAAAGCATGCATTATGAAAACACAGCCCATAAACAGGTCCCCAAAATACTGTACAGGTATATTGTGTCTCCACAAAAAATATCAAGAGAACCTCCTAGCTACAGGCAATACCAGCCAGTGGATTGCAACTGCTGTCCAGGGAATACTGTTGGCACCCGGGGCACATTATTATACCCCCTCTCTGTACACCAAAATTATTTTCAGTAGTAGTTATGAAATAAATAAATACTAATAAAGGGTAGAAAAATGGAGACCGTGAAGATTTTCTTTATCTGAATGGCCGATATAATCACATAAGTAAAACAATTCAAGGTTTTAGTAGCAGCGCATGTAGTGTGCTACAACAAAATAAGAGGAAAATTCAAAGGTTAAATAGTGACACATGCAGTGCACAAAAACCAGTGGCATGCTTTGATGGTGACTGGCCTAAAGGGAACTAAACTGTAGCAGTGTGATCCTTTAAACAGTGATGACTTCACAATATGTAGGAAAAAAATTGACAATTATATACAATACAGAATACACAGAAAACAATCAGTCTACTGTTACAACATGCGGGCAGCAAATGAGAAATCAGTACAATAAATGTGCAGAAATCAGCCAATTGTAACAATATGAGGGTAACGAATACACAAATGTGACAATATGCAGAGAAAAAACAGGCAATCATGACTGTGTGGGGGCAACAAACCGGCAACTGTGACAATATGCAAGCAACAACCTGGTAATGGTGACAATATACAAGCAATCTTGGCACTATGAGGGCAACATATGAGCAATGGTAACAATATAAGGGCAACAATCAGGCAATTGGGACAATATAAAGCCAATAAGAAATCCTCTCCCTCAAGTAAAAATCGTACCCTCATCCCTCTCACGAGCCAACATCCCCAACCAGCAAAAGTTCCCTCTCGCCCCAGTCAAACCCTCCCACCAGCAAAATGTACCCCTCACCCAGCAAAACCATCCTTCCTACAAGAAAACCCTCCTCCAGCAAAAATGATCACCTCCAACCTAGAAAAAACCCTCTTCCCCAGCAAACACCCCTACCTGCAAACCCCAACTTCCTTCCCCCCCTTTCTCCCTCCTTGATGCTTACCAGACTTCAAATTCAGGGGCACCCAGTAGAGTGAGGGAATGTGTGCAGAGCTGAAGAGCAGCTTGGGAGATCTTTCCTCGGCTATGTGCGGTCTTCTGTATCTAAGGTCTGAGAGGGTTGCTGGGGGTGGTCCTATAGAGTCATGGGCAACGTGGCAATAAAA